TTTGTAAATGGTCATCCCATACAACGTCTTTTCTCCGCACACTACTCCGGCCTTAACGTTGCCTAATCAGGTGCTAGTAGATATATCAGCATAGAGACTGGCTTGGTCCCTCTTACGCTGTCGAGTGTCTGGATTATTTTCGGAGGAGATTTGGGACGTTCTGGACGATCGAGGCGCGCTTAGAATTGAGTTGATCGATTTTCCTAATGGTTACTTCCACGTTTATTTGAAATTTTCATTAGGATTCCTTATACCAACCAGTCCTTATCAATGGTTGCATATGTAATTACTTGAAGGAGAGCACATGAACGATATTGGCCATGAAACCTAAAAATACGGAGAAGATATTAATTCCAATGGCTCTGAAGAAAGGAAATCCACTGGCACCATTTAAGTCTCCTATGGACTCTTAGTCTGCTCTGAAACTCACAACAGATGAAAACCCATTTCTTCAGCATCAAACATTCCCAATCGAAAAATCCTAATTTGCCACGACGTAAACACCGTCCATTTTCAATTCCTCTTCCTCAGTTTTACCCGATGATTAAAACGCTTTGGTTTTGGGGGCGACTGTTACCGTATTCTGCTCGAGGTCACTAAAGCAGGCACCAGAACACATTATTTCGGTGGCTCTTGCCTCTGGTAAGGGTTTTAGCCCACTGAGCCTGTTATCTCCATGCGCAGAAGGCCAAATGAAGCAATGTATTGTTAGCTTCTCTTTATTTATTCAACTATCGGGTTTCTTTGTGGTGGGATTTCGGGGTCACTGCTGACCGAGATACGCTAGAGGCTGCTTATAAGTATCCGTAGGGGGTTGTGTGCTGCTTTTCCAATAAACATTTATATACGTCGATACCTGTTGCCATCTACTTTGCATGATTGCCTTCGTATGAATACTACAGTTTGTGTCAGTCAATGCGGAATTCACACAACGTTGCCATCCATAGTAAACTACTTCATGCCTGGGTAACGGAGGAGTTTGAAATACCACTTTCCATTTTTTCTCTAAATCACGTTAAACCGGCATGATTTCGCTTACCTTAGTTTTTAACTCCAGAGAACCCAAGTATGTGGGTAAAATGCAGCTCTGGTATGGTGAGGTTCTACTTGCAACCAGTATCCTAGGCCCTTTAGCTTATCTGCTGTCAAAATTCTCTTTCGGTATTTTGTTCACGTACAATCAGCCTTGATTGGGTTTCACTCCCTGTATTATAAATCATACCCGAATTCCATGGCAGATAGACTGCGATTATCCTGTTACTCGATTTTATTGTGCAAACCTTCATAGAAATCTTCCTAGTCCTCAGGTGGATATCGATTTTGTTTTGCGGCCTTTACAAGTCCTCATCTCGCACACTATAAATTGGTGACCTATATGCAGATTTTTAATCAGGACTGGTAGTTTTGATTAGGGCAATTATATAATCAGACTTCCCGGAAAGTCAGTCCTTCCGCTTGATTAGATTTCTGAAAGGACGATTATACTCGATGTGCCATGTATACATGATCCGCCAGAATGTGCAGTAATTTTGCTCCGCTTTTTGCGACATTCCTAGGCGCCTGCGGTACGACGACCCTCAACATCAGGATTGAAATTCTAAAGCCGATGGAATAGCAGATTTCCAGTAAATGATCCGTACACTTGGACGTCGCGGCTTCCCTAGGCTAAAGAACGCCCATCTGAAACATAAAATTGTGAAAATTTTGCCTTCTGCTTGTTTAACTCCGATATTTATCGGGTATTTATTTGTCAGCAGCCTACTTAATTTGAGGAGTAAATCAATGTGACTCTACAGAAAGTGGCAGTTTACGCAGTTTGTGCAACCTCAGCTAGTGACCCGCAGAGTTGCTGTTAAAAGTCATCCATATACTGGACGTGACATCCACGACGTGAATTTTGTGCTTTTGCATTTCTTTGCTACTAGCTGTTTGTTAGTAACCAGACTCTACTAATGCCCCCGTCTTTGTTTCCGTGTCCCTACTCGTTGTTTCTCGTCGTTCTTTGCTTGTAGTTCTTCGTCCATTGTCTATTGTTCTTTGTCGCCGCTCGCTTTTAAACCTACCATTACACTTGTGTTATTCGCTGACCGCTCGTCTAATCACCTATAATTACCTCGAATTTATTTCCCGCCTTATTAACCCTATCGTGCTCTGCTAATCTTACTGTTTATTACTATAGAACCAAAAAGAATATCCGAGTTATCCCGACTGTCTTCTGACATAGCTTTGACCTCAGGTGCGTCTATTCCGGTGAATAAACTAGCACTGAATCGGGAAAAATGTAAAGAATACTAACACTGGGATTGAGGAAAGTAAACACTTCGGCATAAATATGCGTTCCGACCCTACAAATTGCAGCTAGAAACAACTGGCGGAAGCTTAAAATTCATCATCCTCTCGAATCCCAGCCTAGTTTGCATGTCCAGGTGATCGTTGTCTGCCGGGACGAAACCAGGAATGTGTATTGCACTCTTCCTGACAAGTCGTTTCGTACATTAGTTGGGTCCCATAGATAGAACTTCATTTAAATGTCTGGTAGATTCAGCTGCTGGTTTGTTTATAATTCGATTGCTGGTATTATGTGCGCTTCGAAATATGATTAAGCACGGAGATAAGTCACGACTACCCCTTCACACGCTTACTAGCGCCGTCTTAATGCACAAATTTAGATTAAGTCCTCAGTGGAACTCAAACGCCACCACAGCCGCCGCCGCCGCCACCACCGCCACCACCACCATCATTAATTGAGGCGTTATCAACTTGAATAGGTGTAGCTGACAAATGTTTGCCTGCGCACGACGTCTGCCTCCAATTCAAGGCCTGTCTTCGCCGGGAAACCAGTGCAGTGGTGTGCGTCCAGAGAATACCATTTGGAGAGGCAAGAATGAACCTTAGTTTGTCTGCTGGAAACTGAGTAGGCAGTATCTGCATTGTAGGCGTGCACATTATTGTGATTGTGGTCGCAGTGGTTGGAGTTACAATTGACTGGAAAAGCATCACTGGCCGAAACGGCTGCGTAGCAGTTAGTCATTACTATTAACCCTCTGCCCATCTTATGTGTACAGGCAGAACAGCATTACCGACAATGGCAAGGAAGACTGGAGTAAGCATTTCTGGCTTGTTGGCTGACGCCAGCCAGCCATACCCAAGCCCGAGGTATGCAACCAAAAGGCTTGAATTCGCGACCTGTCTGTGAGAAATCCAACGTCCTAACCACTGAGATACGGGCTCGTTGTATGTATCGACATGGCAGAAATCAATCCGGAACCGATTCTAAATGGTTCATTTCAGCTTATTTGGGGAGAACAATAGGCAAGGTCGTTGAAAACCCCTTTGATTACATGCCAATTCGTTAAATGCAGCTCTACACGACTAATGAAACCCCACTCTGTCAAAATAGTACTTGCACGATATAAGTAACATTGATTAAAAACGAATTTCCAGAAGTTCAGGGTAGTCTGGCTCAGGTTTGGACAGTCGAAGGAAAAGAGGGGACATAAATAATTGTCCATGAGCTTCTTGATGAGCTGCAGGGGCATCGCGTCTACAACTGACTGAGGGAGATCGCTTGGAATATGATAACCAGGTCTAGAGACCGAGGTTTAAAAAGGATTACCAACCTCTGGAACGAGTGATGGCGAGGGTTGCAACATGGTGTAGAATCTACGATCATCTAACTTACGAAGTCAGACTGTGTGAACTTAGTTGGCTTCCCCTCAGTTACAGAGTGTTACGATAAGTTGCAAGAGGGTGATTGGCAGCAGAGAGGGATGGGTACCGGCTATATTCACCGACACGCAGTTACACCATCTCCATCTCAGATCTGCATTCACATCAAGGAGCCATAGCAGACTGACTCTTAACCCACCGAGAGTTCGACCGTCTGTTCCGACGATGTCTACCGTGTGCTCCAGAGCCAGACGGAGCAGGAACAGTGAATTGCGCGTGAAATAGTTTAAAATGGTAGTAGACTTGCGTAGCATCTACCTCACTCTCTATTCCTCACTCCCCACCCGGCCCCAGCCCACCAGTCCGCCACTCCACACAACTGGACGGACCGAGTTGGGACGTCAACTAGCAACCTTCCTATCCACGGCGCTTGACGCGCCGGGATGGCCTCAGGCTCCAATCACCCATGAAACAGGAGCTGTACAGAGACGGGGTCGAGACGCACACTCCCCACTTGCGTCGGTGGCAGTTGGGTGCTTACTGTGGGTGATGTTGATGTGCGGTGAGATGGTGGTTAGGGAGAACATCGTGGTGTGGTGCAGCCGGCGGTTGCCTGCCGCAGGTCTTCGTGGATGCGCATGTGACCGAATAGGCCCATGCGGTGCATGAATGTGCGAAGGTGACTTGCGCGGGGTCTATAATGCGCGTAGACTGGCGCTGCATCTACCACACACTCTCCCCCTTCCCCTTCCTGAGCCCGGCGTCAAGACAGAGTCAAGAAGACCAGAGGCAGGAGAGGGCGCAGGTGGATGGCACGGTCGAGCCCGCACCTTGGCGCTCCATCCCACAGCCTGTGATCCACACAGAAAATGATCAGGTTGGTTGAAATCCTGATCAACAACCATCCCCTCCCTAGGAGGGCATGAAATGGTACCCCCTCCGCTCGGAACGTGCATGCTTTAGGAGGCAGCAGTTCCATAACCACAGAAAAAGAACTCGAGGTCAGAGCTTAAAGCCACAAGCCAGTTTTTTTTCGTAAAATACGCCACTGCCTGAGGAGCACATCAAGGATATACAGTGCTTGTTTGAAGTTGACTGATACAAAGCAGACTACAAAGAGAAAATTCAAAGGTACAAAGCCAAAGACAGAGGGGTAACAGGGAAGACATGATCGTAACTCTAAATATACTGGACTAGACCGAGTTAAAACACAGAGGAAGGGGAAGGGGGCGAATACACGAAGGAGGAAAGACAAACAGTGAGGAATGCGCGACAGTATATGAAAGACCTAGACGACAACTGACAAAGTAGACTACAGTGAGATGGGAGTGCTAGGATGAAACACTCGCGGCAGAGACGGCGGGTGAACCCACACTGGGACTGACTATGTGCAGAAACCAATTGGCCAGGGCCCGTCGCAAAGACACGTGGTCCGCCACTGCAATCAGACGGGCCACATTTTCGGTGAAAACGGCATGCAGTGCGGCGGGGTCACCAGTAGCCGGGTTGGCGTAGGCCAGGAAGCTGTCCGACATTGCGGCCAACAGCTGGGCAGTGCAACAACGACGTGCCTCAGCGTCCTGCATGCCCTGATCGTCGGGACGGAGGGTGCTAGTGGAGGCATCGGAGGTGCGACGCAAAGGTGGACTGGAGACTTTGCGGGAGCCAGCGGAATGGCTGCTCCTAACATGGAAGAGATCACGGATGGAGTCCAGCTTCTGGGAGAGTCGCCTGTTCGGTTTGCCAGCCGCGTCACAATCCAAGCTAGAGGCCTACAGGAAGGAAAAGTATACAAAATTAAGTCGATATGGGCAAAGATTCGAGGTCCAGATATTGCATCGCGTTCATCATCCCCCGAAGAAGACGAAGAAGTAGATAGGGCGAGTTCGTGGACCGAGTTATATTTGTACTGACGTTTCGGAAACCCTCTCGTCTCCATCATCAGAGTAATGCGCTGACTGTTCCTGCTGGTTTTGATTGCTTCAGCCAGAGTTAACAATCAGACAGCAAATAATGAGGCCCAAAGACCCGCTACCAGTGACAGAACAATCAGCGGTGGTCTACAGCATACCATGCCAAAACTGTGATGCAAGGTATGTTGGTGAAACGGGCAAACGTCTGGGCACAAGATTGCATGAACACCAGCTTGCAATCAACCGCAAGGACAAGCTGTCTATGGTTTATGGCCACGTCAAACAGCAGAACCATAATTTCGCCTTTGAAAAGGCAAGAGTAATCGGCCGAGCCAATGATAAGATGGCTCGGTAGGATGTAGGCTGTCGCGTGGTGTTTCGACCCAGCTACGCGTCCTGCATTCTCAATTCCCTTAGTGGCGGCCACCTCCTCGACAGATACTGCTATCGAAATCAGCCAGTCACAGCCAGGATTTTACTCCAGCGTGGACAGATCGTATTTTTGACAATGCCTCCCAGATGGACGGTTTCCGCAATAAAACTAAGCGAAAGCTATTTCGAACAATTGATCTTCCCATCCTGAAATACTAACGCCCTTGGATTGGTCTACTGAAACTTTAAATAGTAGCAAAGGTGCAAATCACCAGACGAATTTGGCTAGGGTATTATTTCGCCCTTTTAGAGTAGAGGATGTTGCTTATCTCAAAAGATGCGAGCTGGCGAAGTTGACTCGCCTCGATTAAAAAAGACTTGGGTCGGATCTTATTTCGTAGCCGTACGTGCAGCAGACAAGCCCAACCTAACCCCAAACCCTTGATAGGTACGGCTACGAAACAGGATCTTGAGAAGACTTGGATTAGTTCTAGCAACTACCCCTCACGAGGCCTGTTGAACGAGGTGAGAGGCCCGGTGCTAAAACTAATGCGGAAAATCGTCCTCCGTATTGGTTTCGGTCGTCGGAAATTATCACATGGTCTGATAAGTCCTCAAACAGCTGAGCTGTGTGCACATAGAGCGATTGTTGAACGACACTCTAACTGCTATACCAACATGATATCATATTTTAAACTCGCTTTGCTCATTAATTTATTGTGATCAATTGCTAACTGGGAGTTTTAATGGATGCATTGAGCCGGTTTCTGATTTTCTAAACATTTACGCATGCTTAATGAACCACATTATGTAATGAACGTTCTCCAAATTTAGCACAAAAGGGGAGGGGAATGTATCCCGAAATCCTAAATTTTAGTAACTCCTTTATGCTTCCACATGCCCCCACATTTGATAGTCCTTTATGACATAACACTCACAGGTTCCAGGTTCTGCTTGATGCCTGCATCTATCACTTACCACGTAAGTTAGCTTTATAAAAACGCGTTACAGCTGTTATCAGTTTTCTTCCTGGGATCATGATTCGAACTCCATAGATCGCGCATTGTCGCCAACGACTCTTCCGCCGAAATTTTGTCGAAACTACACGTATAAGTGTAGACAATGTGCGATGCCTGACTTCGTGTTGAATGGCTCAACATTTGTTGGCAAATAAACCAAAGGTAACCTACTGATTCTGCATTCGTAAAACAAGGAAAAAAGGGACGCAGAGGAGAACAATTACACATATTAACCTCAAAAGATCCACCGGAACCGTTAGCCACCGAGGGCTTGCCATTAGAAAGGTAAGAGGAAGCCGAGACAGAGACCGAGTGATTGCGACGAATTGGAGATTTCGAAATCTAAAAAAGGCAAAATCAAACGTCGACGATACTCGTATTTGATTCCAGACAGCATGGAAAGCCGCGTAGAACACCATACGTATAAATACCACCTCTTATTAAAATATACATATATGTATATATCAGAGGGGAGACGACAGAGTCTGGGGAGTAGATTGATACAGCACTGTTTCGGGCTTGTTTGCCTTCATTCAGCCAATCATAACCCTGACCACCAGCAGCTGGTACCAGAAACACAAACATGCGTACAAACGCACCTGGCGCAGCTGGTCCACCACTGGGGTCTACCAGATGGGTTATAAGCACTTCATCGAACCGAAGTTCATCAGTGCCTCGCCACCTGCCATTCTCTGTTGCTGCAGATCGGGTATTTATTCACTCAGGAATGGGCGCACACCGATCCATTGTAAGGACACTATAGCGCATTCCCAGCATAGATACTAGTTAAGAGACCAGACGCGTGTTTCGTCGATATTCTGCCGCTGGGTGACACAGCTGCATGGGGCCGGCCTCTCAGTAAATTCCCCAGCGTTCTCTATGCGGTTTCTGACATATGAATTCAAGAGAATAATCAAGCGAATAAATTCAGAAATCACTAAGTGCACGATATGGAGTAAATGCTCCGGGACATGACTTTTTAGGATCAAAACAGAAATTTAAATGAACATTTGAGTTGAAGACAATCAACTATTGTGGGATAACCACGTAATGCCCATCCTACAAACAAGTAGTACTAATAGTAGTATGATTTAGTATGACAGCTGGTCACACCGTACTCCCGAAATAAATACTACCTAAAGGCCCAGTCAAGTGTGAAATGAAGTCATGTTAGCATCACACTATCGCTAAAGTGTCAGTTACGTTTGCGGGCAGATATACAATGTTTCATAAGCCGCCTCGCGCTCATCGCACAGCCCGCCCAAAACCGCACTCACCGAACAAGCAGCCCCGTTCTCGGACCGGAGGAGGAAAAGGTAGAGCTGAGCCGTGTAGGTTGCGAGACCAGCGAGGAGGCTGCAGAGGGTGCGTTCGCTGTCGACGATGGGCAGGGGACACATGAATTGCCTCAACCAGGGCAGGGGAGATGCAGCAGTCTGTGGGGGCTGGACAAATGGCAGGCATCGAAAGTGACTGGGGTGCAACTTGCTGACGCTGGCATCAAAGGCGGAATAGGCAGCACGAACAGAGCTCATCAGTTGGGCGCAGGCCTCGGCTTCGACCCCGGTCTTGGTGAATTGGAGGAGGATTAAGTGAAGGAGGGCGCACGAGAGATTGGTCTAGAAAGAGAGAGAGGAGGAGCAGGCGGATTCAATAAGTCCACTGTGTCGGTCGGCCATATGTACTGAGGTAAAGTCCACGGGTGTAAAAAGACAAACCGTCAGTTCAAGTGTTATGAACGACGATGTGCGACGTCTGCCCCCAGCGCGGGGAGGGTATCCTGCGTGTGAATTAGATTAGAATGAGGAAGTCTTGCACAGCATCCGTCCCTCATTCTCTCGGACTCCCTAGCAAGATAGAGTCAGGAAGGCCGGAGGCGCAGTGGCTGAGAAAGCCAAACAGCCCATCTGCGCGTTCACAGACGAATTGGTCAGCGATCGAAGGATCAGATTTTCACAGAAACAAGGCGGAGGCTGGGATCCCGACCGAGTGAAAATGCAGTACTAAGAAAGGGGCCATTGCAATCAAACTGTCGGACCTGTGAAGAGTACCAAGTACGCCAGTCAGTTGGCAGACTTTCAAACCATCACGGCTTTTAGGTCAGTATATTTAAAAGGTAATAGGCAATGCCTTTGAAAACCCTTGTGGTTTAAAAGCGCGTCAGATTGCTAACAGAAGCGAAGACACGAGTCCCAGGAAGCAGTCTTGAAGAAGGAGACAAGATCGCTGGGACAAGAGCTTTATAAGCCTGACGTTTCAGATTCCTGCTCAAACCTATCATCAGAGATAAAAGCAGATACGGCTGGTTCATGCATAAGGGGCTGCAGTATTTATAGGATGTAGTCGCCATGCCACCGCATACCTATAAATATTCACGGCTCCTCTCTTCATCCGGGATCGTTGCACTTGGTGTGCTAATTGTTCGATGGCCGACATTCGCGTCGTTAATTGCTGCAATCTCATCACGTGCGCTGGATGTTGGTGTGATGATTGCTCGACCATCTGATCCACCGATTCTGGTGTTGGTATAAGTGTTCACCTGTGCGCTCCCCGCGTGGCTAATTAGCCCACCTAGGCAAAGTCTCAGCACCGAGTATGGAAGGGGGACATCACTGCACTTTTTAATGGACTGGATTGCTTTTGTCTCTCATTAAGGGTTCGAGCAGGAATCCGAGACGTCAAGCTAATAAAGCTCTTGTCCCAACGATCGTGTCTCCTCCAAGCGCATCAGATTGTTTAAGGCGAGACATATGCGCTGAAACACAGTGGGGACAGAGGTCCCGGAGTCGACCTCAGCCCCTTCCCTCTCCACGTACCAGTCCGCTGCCCGAGCCGGTCAGCTGGGACTGGGCGCACATGGTTGGCGTGGCGGGATCCTGAACCTAGGCGTGCCACCACATCTTCCCCATGTGGACTCTCCGCAGCCCCGTTGGGGAGCGCCGTGTCATAATCTGGCCTTTCTGTCGGTCAGGCCAATCTTTCGCGTTATTCGTTGCAGGGACTTAGAAAAATAAAAAAAAATATAAAGTAGATGCGCAAGCACAGGCAAATAAATAACTGGTGGTTTCTTGAATCATTAGAATTCGGTCTCCGTCGATGGAAAAGAGAAAGGGTCGGGCTCTTCCGACCCACCACCACCGCATATTGCCACGGGTGGAAAGGTGCAATTCGCGACATCATCGAGAGCGTGTAGATCAGGCATGAACACGTGAGACAGGAGCTTCAGACCCTACCACGTCAGTACCATTGCTGACCCCCATAGGAAGTGGTTGCGATACAAACCCCTATTCACGGGTCTTCAGTAAAGCTTGTTTCAATTGTGCTCTGTGGCAGCTAATTTTACGCTCCTGGAAAGGTCCTTGCAAGGCTTCATAAAGTTCGAAGCGCCTACAGTAGTTAATCCTTGCTCTGCGAGAGCAAAGGCGAAAAAGACGTTGTAGCATCGCCGATTTCACTGTGGTTGTCAACATTAGTAGTTACGGGTGAGCCACCATATGCGGACGTTTGTGTGTGGCACAGGTTGGACAGAGGCTTCAGGCCTCGTCAAGCACTTTATCAAATCTTACTTCCAGTATGCTGGGTCCGGACTTACCGTCAACAGGACAGAAGGGGCCAAAGTGTGACTGACACGGTTTAAGTTGGATGTGATTTAGAAAGCGCCCAACTGCCGCGGCAACTTGGTGCTCCCGCGCACTGATATGGCCTTTTAATGCAGCCCCTAGGGCAGTTTTCCTGGCCGAGGCCAGCACATGTGTGGTTCGCGTAAAAGTGCGGTTAACCTCGTCAGCGACTTCACACACACACAGTCGTCTCAGGTGCTGGGGCTTGTTTGGGCATTGAAGTGAGACGGAGAGTGACGTAGGACTGCGCAAGTTCACTTCACCACGGGCGGGCAAACGCACGACTCACAACAGCGTCCTCGTGGCAGTGACAATCCTCGTTACTTAATTACAGTGAGTGACCGATCTAATGAAATGTTGGCTGAAATTCTGAAATGTGTTTTTGATTGGGAAGGTTTGCTTGGGCGCGGTTGTAGTATAGATTATCTTGCGGCCTAATTCTATAGTATTCCGGACTCGGCAGTATGTCGGCCTTTGAATGCACTTCTTTTCAATCTGCTGTAGAAACCGTACTCGGCAAAAATGACTACTTATGTAGCATGCATCTTTCCCATTTATTTTCGATGGTCTTGCAAATTCAAAAATATTTTATAAAAAACACGAATGAAAATATTGTTTCTTTTAGTCGTTCGATAGATAATCACGTCTTCTTTATATTTTTTACTCGGAGGAGTATAATTAGGTTTTAAAAAGTTTCTAATTATGAGATTTTATAAGACCACGGAATGTCCATTCACACAACATCGTACCTGGCCGTTTACGACTGCTCCTCATGAAATGTACAACATAGACCGCATCCATTGTAAAGTTCTATGGACCCTGCATGGTATCTTTTTAAAGGGATAGAAAAATATGTGATGTTCTTTACTCGGAACGCATGCACCTTGTAGACTGAAGTCACAATGGAACGAATGATCGGGCTCCTGATTATTCGGGAATTAGAAAACTTTTTTAAAACCTAATCATACTCCTTCTTTGAGCAGAAAATATAAAGAAGACGTGATTCTCTATCAAACGACTGAAAGAAAGCATATTTTGTTTATGGTTTCTATAACATATATTTGAATTTGCCAGACCATCGAAAATCAACGGGAAAATGCATGAAACATAAGTAGTCATTTTTTGCCCAGTACAGTTTATACAGAAGATTGAATAGCAGTGCATTCAAATGCTGACATCCTGACGAGTCCGAAATATCATAGGATTACGTCGCAAGATAATCAGTATTACAACCGCGCCTAAGTACTCCTTCCTAATCGAAAACGCATTTCAGAATTTCAGATCGGTCACTCACTGTAGGTGGTTTAGGAATTCTGGAAGAACAAGGTCTGCTAATCAAATTAACGAATCAATCTGAGGGTTACCTGCGGGGAAGGAGACACGATCGCTGGAACAAGAGCTTTATTAGCCTGACGTTTCGGATTCTCACTCGAATCCATCATCAGAGTCAGATAAGGGCGCTAAATTGCTTTGGCGCTGCATTATTTATAGGATGAGGTTGCTAGGCCGCTACATGCCTATCACAGTTGGTAGTTCCCAAGTGCATCACGGCTCGACTGGCCAGGTGTTGAAGTATGCAGTTGCGATGCGTTTATTTGCCGTTCAAGAGTATCGATTCCCACACGCTCTTGTTCCAGCGATCGTGTCTCCCTCCTTGCGAATACTTCCTGCAACTCGCATCTTCGTTTTTATTAGCAAAAGGGTTACCTGTTGATAGAGGTTGGCGGCGAAGGGCAGGTTTAGCAAGCGTTGGAAGATGATCTTCAACTCGGAGCACTGGTCAAAGTCAAAACAGGCCGAGTAGGTGGCGCAGAGGCAATTCATGAGGCGAAGACGCGTTCCCAGGGAGGCGCATTGGACAAGCCCTGCAAGAAGAGGCAGATTCGGTAAGAAAGGACAGATCAGTAAATAAATAAGAGAGGACACAAAGACCTCCAGGGGATTGCGCATGATACAGGAGAAAGTTAAACAAAAAGAGCGGAAGTCGAGCTTAGGGCACGACCTATCGGGATTTCCTTCAAGCGATTAGGGTCTATGAAGAAATAACTTGTCTGAAGTATTCCCGAACACGTTGTCTGCGTGCAACTAATAGAGAATAAGTAGTATCTTGGCCTCTGTAATCGCTGTGAAACCATCATGACCAACATTCATCAAAAGTCAGCAATGCTACAGTTCTAGTCCCTATCCTGATTTCCGAAGAAAGCAGACATAAACAAAAGTTGAAATAAGTAGATGATAGATAACAGAAGTTAACATGGTGATGGGTGCCGTTATAACCTAACAGACCCCAGCTTCTGAAGGTGGCACTAAAGGAAAGAGAGTGGGGACCAGAAAGCGTACCGTAGCGTGAGGCGCAGTCGGTGATCGGTACCTCAAGATCATCGTCCTGACCTTCTGAGCTGTTCAAAACGGCGTCTGGGTAGACGGCCACCAGGCGATGGACGGACTCAGGAATGGCAGAAATATTGGCCAAGGACAGTTCACCGACCAGTTGCATCAGGAGACGAAGATTCAGTAGACTGCAGACGATCTCCTCGAAGGAGATTCTTCAGGTGAGTTCAAAAAGTGTAAAAAATTTGTTGTACTACATTCGACAACATACGAATGAATGCGGCAAACAGTAGGTGCTGAAAGTCACGAAAGATGAGCCTATAGTAGATGTATTATCACAGAAAATGTTAACCGAGATTCTGTAATATGTTTTCGACTCAACAATATTACTTAAATCGGGTCGTGATATTGATTATAGTGCAGCATAACCCTAAGATATTTCAGTCACGCCAGGATGCCGACTTTTGAATGAGTTTACACTCGGCCGCCTGCGAAAGCTAAAAACTGCAAAAATGACTGCTTAAGTAGGATGAAATTTCCTCATTGGTTTCCGATGCTCTTATAAAATCGATTCTCAGAAGACGAGGTGGCGAGCATACGTAGCTTTCGGTAAATTCTCGTCGGGCCAGTACAATTATATGGGAAGGGGTAGAGGTAAAAACACTTCACTGATATCGTAAGTCGATTAAAGTTCGCCTTAAAACACAGGCTGGGTGTGGGAGAGGGGGGGGGGTAATAGCAGTCAGTGTCAGGGGCGGGGTGAGAGCGGGAGGGCGCGGGGGAGTTGTAGCGTTAGTCGACCGTCGACCACTGTAGGCGCGGAGCCTGAGCGTGGTTCTTCTGGGCGCATAGGGTCGGTTTTAGTAACCTGATGGCGGCCGTCTCTGCTGTTGATAACAGGTGCTGTTCCAGTGGTTTAGGATAGCTGGATGGGACCTTATAGATCACACGAAATGCCTCATTGGGGTCTACACACTGTCCGGAATCGATAACGTGCACGAGAATGGCGCTGCTTATGCTCCTAGTTTCGCCTTTTCCCAGCCATGCCGAGAAAAACGTGGACAAAAATTTTAATTCAAATGCCGGCATCTTGGCGTGACGGAAATGGTAAGATGTGGATATGTAGCCCTACCTGATTGTCACAATACTGTTGGGGTTGGGGTTAGGGCAACCGCGCATTGCCAATAGCTTTTCTTCTGCATACAATAACTTGACCTCGTCGCCTCTGCGTTTCCCGGCCCCACCGGTCCCGTATTACAGGTGGCTGGGGGTTGTTTACTTCAGGTGGAGCTACATAACCACATCTGACCACGGAAATATTTTAGGGTTATGCTGCACGATAATTAGTATTACAACCCAAATTAGGTAATTATTACAAATCGAAAATATATTATGGGATTTCGATCAATATTTCATGAGATGACACATACCATATCGTGAAATATGCATGCATACTGCTTTTTATGAGTATCATTCCAGTCGTCTGTGGCAATTAGAATCGAAAGTGCACATTTCCACTGATTTGCAGCGTTTAGATTATCCAGGTTATTTATTTCAGACGGGATATATCGGTCCGCGTAGTCAGTACTGTGTTTAACTGGAGAGACTGAGAGTCAGGTTCAATGAATCCCTTGTTAATATACCCATAATGGCAATTACACGCACGTGATAAAAAGTAGAGGCGGGCGGTGGAGCAAGGACTTTATTCGCCTGACGTTTCGGATTCATTCTCGAAGCCATCATCAGAAACGCTATCAGATACCGGTAATTTGCACAATGGAAGCCGCAGTATTTATAGGATGCAGTCGCTATGCTAATGTACACCAATGATAATTCACTTCTCGCCTCCTCATCGAGGATGTTGTACGCTTGGTAGCCGGCATGTGAGTTGTTAAGTGTGTGCTGGATGTTAGCGTGGTGATTGCACGACCATCTGGTTAACCAGCCTGCGCGCTCTCTGACTGGATAATTCCTTTGGTCAGACAAAGTCTCGGCACCGAATAAAGGGTGGGGATGCCATTGCACTTGTTGATCGACTAGGGTCCCGTGAACTATGACTCAGGTAACTCGCGGCTCACGCGATTATCACCTCTCGCAGGGGTTTCGCCTAATCGACCTTGAGCGTGCGGCCCGGCATCGTTCAGTGGGCCGCGACTTGAGAGTTAGCGTCATTTTGCCGCAATGCTGCTGTGTGTTCGGCGATTCGCGTCCAGGGCAGTATTCCAGTTTCTACAGCGTAGTTGCTTTGCCCGCAACTGCACCAGACTCGATAAAGGGCTCCAGATGTTTCCTGCGCCGTGGAAGGCGGCCTTTCGGTCCCATTACCTGACACCTAATGGTTGCCTCCGGTCTGTGTGAAATTCCAACTCCGAGTGGTGTAAGAAGGCGGTTGACGACCTCAGAGACGTTCTGGATGTATGGAATCGCTCGCTAAAATTTGGGAGGCGGGGAGTGCGTTTTTGTCACTCGTCTCGCTTCCGCATGCATCGGCTGACGAAGTTGAGCGGGTAACCATTTTCTCCGAACACCCGTCGAAGATATTGAAATTCGACAACTTGGCTTTCCGGTTCACTGCTGCGCGTCTCAACACGCCGATAATAGCATCCGTACGCAACTGTGTTTGCGGCCGATAGGGTGATTGCTGTTGAAGTTCAGTATTTGAGTCTTAGTTGTCACTTTACTGAACACCTTGGTCTTAAGCCACCACAATATTAGCGGAAGAAGAGGTCATCAAGAAAGGCCAGCTGGTTGTTCGCATGCGCCTCTGTCGAAAGATGCTGTTGGTACATTCTTTAGACGTTAGCATCTGACCCTGTTCGAGGACGACGAAGGTATCATCCACATACCCAGCCCAGAACTCCGGTCTGTGATGCTGGAAGACCAGCGACTCTAACCGTTGTAGGACCGCCTCGGCTATGAGGCTTGCAGGATTCTAATGCACTTTTTCGTGGCCGATCATGTTCTCTTTCTCTGTCGTGTTGGTGTTTGGGAAAGTAGACTAGTGCGAATACGCTTCGTGTGATTTCCAATTACCAGGTCGGGTCGTAACACTTTGAAATTATCACGATGCGTTAAATCGTGGCTTGTAAGGCAGCCAACCCGCGGATAACTCGGTCGGCGTGGTTAGTACTGAATGTGTATGTGGGGCGCCTGAGACTAACACCAAGAGTCAGGCTCGGTGGCTCAGTCTTAATTTGGCCTCTATGACACTCAAGAGCATGAGATTAGAGCACATTCTGTTGCCAAGGTAACCTGGCATATTATGCTGGTCAAAGTCGTGTGGGACACGCTTGGGCGGGCGGTTTGTCTTTGCAACCGCGTCCGACTCAGCCTCCGGCTGTTTGGACATTGCCTTGTCGTCGGAGAGAGGTGGATGAGGGAGGAAAGAGTGCGATAGATGCTTCGCAAGTCTGCTGCTCAAGAGAAACAGATTCAAGCACAGGTCACCGATGCTGCGTCTGCTACGTGAGGCACACGATGGAAGCCGTTGCTTGAGACAGCCGAAGCTTCACATTTAATGAAGAATTAATGGCCGAAAAATTTAGTTT